AAATGGTGGAGGTGGCGGTAATTCTGGAGGAGGAGAATCGACGGTCGAGGGCGCTGCCCTGGCTTCGCAGGGGTGCGCTCAGGCCTCTGCCGGGAGAAGCCTCAAGGCCCTGACATGGGAGAGCAGCGGCTGGCACCGTGGACGGACCCCATTTGGACTGGACCTCCAGGAGCTTCCTGACGCCTCTGGGGGCCTCGGGAGACCTCGGGGCGAGGAGGAACAGAAGGACCAGGAGCAGGACGGGGGGGGGGGGGAGGACGAAGATGGAGGCAGAAACGGTGACGACGGGGAGGACGCGAAGATGACGAATCCCGACACCAGGCCTCAAACGTGAGTATTTGCGAGAGGAGCCATGACCGCGTAAGACCGCAGCGGCGAGGCCGACAAAATGAGTCTGGCCGACTGGCGGCCGCAAGCTCGCAGCGCGGTGGAGCGAATACGCCACCAGCGCAATAGAGCCCCTGACCCAAGACTGGCTGCTCTGCAAGCAGCTCGACTCGTGCGTGCCGCTACCGAGCAAGACACATCCCTTGAGTACCAACTTCCCTGCTTGCATCCTGCGGAGGAGGACGCCGATAGAGCGAGAGGAGGACGAGGGGGAGACCGTGCATCCGATGACCTTGTTGACCTACGCGCTCCTTCCCGCGGATATATGCGCTGATGTTTTTGTTGCGAAGCTAGATGCCAACCGGCAAGACAACATACGATGCCACCGAGCCCCCTGCCTCAACAGAGAAGCTGTAAGCTCGCAACACCGCACGCTAAGGCATGAAGCGCGCTTCGCAAAATAGGCCAATACAACATCTTCCCGTCCGGGGCCACAACTGCAGCGACTTCGCAACGCATGTGTGTGCGCACATTGCGTTGGCTATGAGCTACGGCTTTCCTTAAATTGTTGTTGATGCGCAAACCAAGAGAAAAAAAAACTATGCTTGCGGCCCTTCCGTGCCATCCTGCTCCAACATCAGGCGGGAAACATATAGGGAGAGGAGACAGTGGACGAAGAGAGAGGAAGAGAAAGGACAAGAGAAAGAGGTGAAAGAGCAAGGGAAGGGACACAGGCAGGGGTCGAATCCACACGTCTGAATCTTTTGCCACGCCACACATACATGAATCGTGTACACGACGTTATCACCACGGGTCGTCAAAAGTTCGGCGTCCAAAGGGCGTTGGCCGTGGAGCATGCCCATTGGACGACTTCGCCTCGGCTGGAGCCACCGGCTGCGACGTCCACGTCGACGTGCCGTTCGTGCAGTCTCGCGAGGGCGCAGCTGCGAGACCCGTGCCTGGAGTGGTGCGGCACTGGCCTGCCCAGGGCTCCCCTGTGATGGTCTCCTGGTGCTGCTGGGAGTTCCTTCGGCTGCCCCTCCTGTCAAGCTGTCTCCTCTCTGCCCCTTCCCGCCTGTCCACCTGCCTGCTTCGTCCCGCCGGCCCTGGCCTCCCGCCTGCACGTTCGCCGTCGTCTGCCTGCTTCTCGCTGCCCTTTTCTCCATCTCCGTCGCTGCGCAGGACAGATTGCTGGGAGCAAGCGGCACCGGCGCGTCACAGGAGTATGGGGTTCGACCGTCCTGGGCCGTGAGGCGATCTGCTCAGGGCGCTTTTGTCATGTGGCCCTGAAGACCCAGGTAGGGGCATAAGCGCGATCACTCAGCTGCCCAGGCATCCTCTCTGGAACCCCTTCGGTCGCGAATGAGCTGCGAGAGAAGGGTAGGCAGATCGCAAGAGTGAAAGTGACTACTCCGAAAGCATGTGCCAAGGGTGTTTGCATCGATCAAGAACGAAACTTAGGGAATCGAAGACGATCCAATGCCGTCCTGGTCTTAACCATAAGCAATGCCGACTAGAGACTGGAGGTCGTTACTTATACGACTCCTCCAGCACCTTAGGAGAACTCCAGGCTGCAAGGAGTGGCGAAGACAACGCATCGCACGATGACCTTGTCGGCAGTGCACCTGGGACCGAGAAGCTCGACATGTGCAGCCCCCTCCCCTCCCTGGAGGGAGACGGACCTCTCCGAGCCACGGCCACGGCGTGGCGGCGCCGGCGTGAACGTCTGCTGTCCAACGACACGGACATTGAAGGGCTGCTTCCTGCCTGGGAAGAGAGGCGGGGGTCAAGACTGGTGCACTCGCGCCATGTCTGACATCCTCCCCCTCCCACCCATCCCTTCCCCGTGGCGCCGGCTTCTGCTCTATCCACGGACGCGTGTCACGGCGGACCTGGGATTCCAAAAAGGACCCCTCGTGTCATGCCCTGTCGGAAAACTGGAGCTGCATACATTGGCGGAGGAGGTTGCAGATGAGCAAGAGGATGAGCAGGAGGAAAAGGAGGAATATGAGGAAGTAGAAGGAGCGGGAGGGGCAGGAGGACCAGGGGAAGGCCAAGGAGGGGAGCGGACGAGGGCGACAACGATGAACAAAAACTCGGATACGAAAGCGCCATTCTGAACGATGTGAGCAAAGCGTCGATCCTGAAATGAAGCCAACTCTGCAGCGGTAGCCCAATGTTGAGACACCAAGACTGTCACGCATGGAAAAAACAAACGGAAAGACCAACTTTTGAAATCCTGCGCGTGCGGAAACAATACGCGGAGGGGAGGCGGGCGATTCCCAGGCCATCTTCGGGGGAGAGAGAAAAGAGGTGTCCCCATACGGAAAGTTTAAAAGACGGGGGACGGGAGGAGGGGGCGGGGTGCCTGAACTGGATGGGCCCTGAGAACATCGGTCAAGAAAAAAGGGGTATGTCAGATCCGCCCGAAGTCAATCCCCCGGCCCCTCCAGGGGACCATCTGGTGTAGTTTTTCACCCTGGATGCGTTTTGATGGTCCTGGGCCAGACGATAACCCCAGGAGGCCGACAAGGTGCAAAAAGCGCCTCGAACCTCGCCCCTCTCTTCTTGCTTGCCGGAACCAGGGCTGGGCCACCTCCGACCCCCAGCCGGCTCCAAGGAGGGGGGAGGGGGGCAGGCTGGTGGAGGGGGGGGCGAGTGCCTGGGGCAGGAGGACGCGCAGGGAAAGGGAACCAGGTGGACCGGAGAGCTTGCCCGGGTTAGGAAATCCCCCCAACTCACCCACCCACCCACCCACCCTAGAAGCAGGGCTGGACCTAAACGGTGTTTTGGCGACTTCGTGGGGCGTTTTCGTTTCGATGTCGCTTTGCGTCAAAGGGCGGATTGAGGACAAGACCAGGGGAAACGAGGACAAAACGAAAAAGACAAACACCGTTTAGGTTCAGCCCTGCATAATGCGGGATGACGATGAATTAAAGGAATTGGAGAGAACGATTAAAACAATAGTTTTCTGCGATTTCTGCATAATTTTCTGACTGGAGGAGAACGATTAAAAAAAATAGCTTTCCAGCCAGCGGCCGGTTTTTTCTAATCGTCATCCCGGGCGCCGCCGCGTGAACGCGACCCCAGGTCATTTATTAATCGTCATCCTCCATTAGACGAAAGGTGGCGAAAGGACCCCGAGATCCTCCCGTCTGACTTCTTCTCGGCCCGGGCGTTTCCGCCCAGGCCCGGGCCCTGGGGCCCTCACGCACCGATCTGGTTCCAATAGCGGCGCAGCAGAACGGGGATCTGGGGATCCACTCGTGCTTGCTCACCGTGTCTCATGTTGTTGAGACGTCAGATAGCCGGGGAGGAAGCGGGGAGGAAAGGAGGGGGGAAGAGAGAGGACGAGGAGGGCAGGAGAGGGAGGGCCGGATGGGTAAAACAAACGAGAAGGAAGGTGATAGAAGAAAGGTGAGGGTGATTAATTCCGACGTTCAGTCTGCAGAACGCTGATCGAGGGGGAGGGCCGAATGCTATAGTCCAAAAAAAGAAAACCAGAATGAAAGACGGGAATAACCTGGATACACAACCAGATGAGCATGTGTCATCAGGTTGTTGCGCACCGATGCGCAACATTGTTTGCACTTCGGGATCCTTACTTGTTTTCGGAGGAACTGTGCCTGTGCGTCGGTCTGGCGGCTATGTCGACACCGTCGCCGCCGCGTTACCGCCTCGTCGCCGCCCATCGTCTGGGCCTGTGCGTCGGTCTGGCGGCTATGTCGACGCCGTCGCCACCCCGTTGCCGCCTCGTCGCCGCCCATCGTCTGGGCATGTGCGTCGGTATGGCGGCTATGTTGTCGCCGTCGCCGCCCCGTGGCCGCCTCGTCGCCGCCCATCGTCTGGGCCTGTACGTCGGTGTGGAGGCTATATCGTCGCCGTCGCCGCCCCGTCGCCGCCTCCTCACCGCCCCGTCGCGTTGCACCACATATATTACTCCACATAGATTGCACAGTGAAGACTGCACCGCGTAGAGCTCACATTGCAGATTATATGTTGCACCACATACATTGCAGAATACATGATGCCCCACATACACTGCACAACATGGATTACAGCACACATATTGCACCACATACATTGCACTACATAGATTGTGTAACCTATATTGCAAAACAAAAATAACACAACATATATGGTTCGACACATATGTTACTACACAAATGGCTTCACAATGATAGCACCACAAAACTTATTGTTAGACACCGTTTGGGTCCACGCTGGCTAACATGTTACATGTGGGCCAGAATGTGAACAACATACTATTTGGGATCCAGATGGGCGATTTCGGAAACCCTGAAGCCAAAAACGTTTACATCTCTTGGGGGCACATATTTCACTTCCGCCGCCTTCCGCCGAGCTTCCACAAGCTTCCGCTGGCTTCCGCTGGCGGAGGCGGCCTCGCTTTACTTCCGCCGACCTTCCGCCGCCCTTCCGCCGAGGAAGAGATGACAACGTCTTCCATCCTCGAAGGCGAGGCCCTTTTTGGAACGCCTGAGATGAGAAATTGACGAACGTGGGAAAACTGAAGTCAAAGACTTATGTAGCTCAACCAGATGGTCCGCACACCGTACACTGCAGAGACGTAAGAAAGCGATGAGCAAATCTGACCACTTGAGCCTGCTCTTGAACTGTACGCATCCCGTGTCCGCTCGGCAACAAGCCTCCTTCCCAGTGCTGCTCCCCATCATCCCTTTACTGTAGGTGGAACGCTCAACGCCCGAAGAAGGCGGAGCCTCGTATCACAAAGCCGGGTGTAAATATCTCCTGAATGCAGCCGATCCGATCCAACCTTTCGCTGGGAGGTACGGTGACAGCCCTGCCTCTACCCACTCCGCTCCTGCCGTCCACCCCATTGGCTCCGCATCTCCCAGGGCGGCCCCTTCCAAATCGAGAGTTGGGGTCATCTGAGCGACCTCGGCCACCCGCTCCGACACCCCCAAGTGCATCTGGACCGAAGGGTGGGATCGGATCGGGCCTGTATGCTTCGGTCGGGCATGTCCTCCTACGGGCGGATTCTGGACGAAAAACTAGAAACTCAAAAAATGCTCCACGATTCTCAAAAACAGTCGAAAGATCCTCCCCAGACTTTTTCGCTACCTAGGCTCTGCCTAGAAGGGTTCTTACTCTCTAGCTCAAAGGGGCCGGGCAGTGGAAAGCGCCCCAGGCGGTTCCCCCAGTCCCCGCCCCGCGGTTCCCCCAGTCGCGCCCCCTTAGCTTGGCTTAGCTTATCTCGTCTTAGCTTAGCTTGGCTTAGCTTAGCTTGGCTTAGCTTAGCTTAGCTTGGCTTACCTTAGCTTAGCTTAGCTTAGCTTAGCCTGGCTTAGTTTAGCCTAATGTAGCTTAGCTTAGCGTAGCATAGCATAGCATGGCATAGCATAGCATAGCATAGCATACCATAGCACAGTATTGCATAGCATAGCTTAGCATAGCTTAGCATAGCGCCCCCTTAGCTTGGCTTAGCTTATCTCGTCTTAGCTTAGAGTGGCTTATGTTAGCTTAGATTTAGCTTAGCTTGGGCTTAAGCTTAGCTTAGCTTTAGCGTAGCTTTAGCTTAGCTTTAACGTAGCTTCAACTTAGCTGTAGCTTAGCTGTAGCTTAGCTTTAGCTCAGCGTCAGTTTAGCTTCAGCTTAGCTTCAGCTTAGCTTTAGCTTAGCTTTAGCTTAGCTTCAGCTTAGCTGTAGCTTAGCTTCAGCTTAGCTTCAGCTTAGCTTTAGCTCAGCTTTAGCTTAGCTTTAGCTCAGCTTTAGCTTGGCTTTGGCGTTAGCTTAGCTTTAGCTTAGCTTTAGCTTAGCTTTAGCTTAGATTTACAATTACTAATGCTGCTTTCCTAGGGGCTCCAACTCCTAGGTAGGGTCGCACTGGGATAATTTTGACTGCTTTTGAATGCCCCTCCTGTAGAGGGACATGCCCGACTTCACGTAACTATGCCGGGCCGGGCGAAAGGGGGGGGGATAGCAAGGGGGGGGGGGACAATCGGCTCGCGTAGCTGATGTTCCTGGCGCCCCCTGGCGCCGGAGGCGGCCATGTATCGAGGAGTGGGCCCCTCGATGGGGCCGAAGCCAGCTGCACGCGGCAGACTTCGTAACCCCCCCTTTCCCAGGAGGAGGAGGAGGAGGAGGAAGAGGAGGAGGAGGAGGAGGAGGGAGGGGGAATGAGCAAGACGGAGGAGAGGAGGAAGAGGAGGAGGAGGAGGAGGAGGAGGAGGAGGCCCCCTGTCGTCCAGCCCGCGTATGGTATGCCACGGGGCGCACGGGCGCGGCGCGCGCGCTGGCGTGGCACGTCGTGCCCGCCGCGCGGGCGCCGCCGCAGCGGTGCTGCGCTGCCGCGGAGAGGCAGCGGCGCACACGTGGGAAACGCAGGCTCCCTCGGCCGGGGGCCACGCAGAGGGGTGCCCCTGGCCCAGTGCGTCCCCGGCCTCCTGGCGTGAGGGGGATTTTCGACGAAAAATAAAAATGTATATATATATATATATATAAATATATGTATATTAAAAAAATGGCCAAAAAAATGCTCCAAAAATAGTCCCCAGGCTACGTTTGGACTATTTTTTGACTATTGTTGGGGTATCTTTTATTCTTCGCCGAAACTCCCCCTGAAGTGGTCCGGACCTCCGGGGCCCACGCATCGAAAGCATCGCGACGCGGTGCTCCAGAGGCCGCGGGGGCCTCCCTCGAGATCCTGGCCCAGGCATGCAACGCGTTCATGCTTCAGTGAACGGTCCGCGCTCCCGGGGCCGGTCGTCCTCTCGAGTCCTTTCTTCTGGGGGGCCCCCCCCGGAGGCGGAAGACGGCCAATAGCGTCCCGCGTGACTCCTTGCCGCCGCGAGCACGCCTGGGGGGGGGGGGGGCAAACCTCTGGGCCAGGACCACCGCTGGCAGCACCCGACTTGAGCTGGCGCGCCACAGTGCGCTCGCTGCAGTCCGTGCCCTCTAGCAGGGGCCGGGTTCGGCCGGCCACGCCGGCGCGCGGCAGGCCGTCGCTGGGCCGCCGCACTGCGCGTCGTGGGCAACGTGGGCCGAGCAGCGAGCTCCACCTCCTCCTCCTCCTCCTCCTCCTCCTCCTCCTCCTCCTCCTCCTCCTCCTCCTCCTCCTCCTCCTCCTCCTCCTCCTCCTCCTCCTCCGCCTCCTCCTCCTCCTCCGTGGGCCTCGTCCTGTCGCTGCTCCTGGCCCAAAACGTGTGCTAATGGAGGAGGGCCAGCGCGCCAAAGCTGGGCCAGATTCCACGAGGAGGCGGAGCGTGCCAGAGTCTCGCGCGGTGCTGCCGGGAGAGGAGCCGGTGCCCAACAGACAGGAGCGAGCTCCACCGAAGCGGAGCAGCATCGAAACGAGATGGAGGAGCAAGAACTGCGTAAACATAATTTCTCGAAGGTCCGCGCGGATTTCTTGGATCGGCGCTGGGCCCCCCTTCCCTAGCTCGCGCAGCGCGCCAGGGGCGGCGCCAGAGGCGCTGCCAGGGGGTGGCCAGCGCCGACGAAAGAAATCTGAGCGGAGCTCCGAAGAAAGCAGGAAGCACAGGATGGCTGGCTAGAGGGGAACGTGAGACACGGGGGGTGCAGCGGGTCTTCGGATGTCTCTGGAGGTCCTCAGAAGCCCCCGAGTCCTCTGGAAGCATCTGGAGGTCCCCAACGGGGAAGAAACGGTCAAAGAGCTCGATCCTCGGTACTGGATCCTCCAGCCTCGAACCTCGTTACGCTAGGCAAGCTTAGACCGACTGGGATCGTTGCGCCAGGATGGTAAACGAGCGGTGAGGTGCAGAGAAAAAGCGACTTAGGCGCTGTGGCCAACAAACAAGACCGAGGTGAGCGCAGCTAGAAAAAGACGGCAACTGCCTCGAACCTCCTCCTCCTTCTCCTCCTCCTCCTCCTC